CAGTGCTGTATTCCGATTTTTGGGTACTCATTTCAGTGATTTGGGGGTGATTTTTGGTGGTCTCACACATGTCCGAGCCGCCATCTTGAATAGGTTCACTTGTGTGTTGAAGGATTTTTTTTTATTTTTGGAACTTTTTTCGTAGGGCCTTATAAGCTCGTATTTTTTCATTTCTTGTCTGCTTAGGGTTGTAGGATAGTTTTTTGGGGACTCGTTGGTATTTTTCCGGCCGTATTTCGATTTTTGGCATCGGTTTCGGTCATTTTTTGTACTTAAATTTGCCCACTTTTTTCTACTCACTAGACTGGTTGTACAGCCGTTTTTTGTAGTTGTGATCCTCTCGCCAGAGTTTTATACTGTGGAGATAATTCCACGGTGTTCTTTTTCGGTGAGGTATAGGGTCGTTTAAGTAGAACTTAGTAGGCTCTAATTAGACTAGTTTCAACCCTCTCGCCGAAGTATTATTACCGTGGAGATAATTCCACGGTGTTTTTCGGTGAGGTATACTATGGGTATAGGGTTGTTTAAGTAGGAGTAGAGTAGTAGTAGTGAGTAGGAGTCATTAAATTAGTTTCAACCCTCTCGCCGAAGTATTATTACCGTGGAGATAATTCCACAGTGTTTTTCGGTGAGGTATACTATGGGTATAGGGTTGTTTAAGTAGGAATTTTTTAGTAAGAAACTAAGTAAGATTATGAAAGAAACTAAGTAAGTTATTAAGTAGGCAATAGGTCTTTCCTGTAAGAAACTGAGTAAGAAACTAAGTAAGTAAGCCAGTATTGTCCTTTAAGAAACTAAGTAAGCAAGAAGTATTTTCCTTGAAGGAACTACGTACGTTAGTAAGTAAGCAAGAAGGAAGGATCGACTAGGTACCTCAGTAAGTGGGATTTTTGACTGTCAAGTCTTGTTTTGTATATCTGTGGATTTGGGGTTAAATCGTGGGTGGTATTTAATTTCACCTTCATTTCATCATTACTAATATTGTACGGCCATCTCGCCGAGCATTATACCGTGGAGATAGTTCCGCGGTGTTTTTCGGTGAGGTATGTTGCCGGTTTAAGTGTAGTCCTTTAGTGTTACTTAGTAGGGTTTAGTTTTGGCCCGCTCGCTGAAGCTGTTCACCGTGGAGATAATTCCACGGTGTTTTTCGGTGAGGTTTAGGGTTCAGTATTTTCCTGTCAGGTACTTAGTAAGCTATTAGGAAACTAAGTAGGGTATTAAGTAAGCAAGAAGGAAGGATTGTTGGTGTATTTAATTTTATCATTTGGCTATTTAATCGTTGCTGATTTAAAGCCGGTTATGGCCTCAGAGAAGGTTAAAGTGAATTATGGGACTGAGGAGGCCTTACTGGCCGTTGTGGATAAAACTAAGTCCCACAAGATTATTAGTTGGAGGGAGCAATGTGGGAGCTTAACTGAGGCATTATTTTTGCAGTGTCCCCGTCTCCATGAAGCCAAGGGGCTGTTACATTTATTTGATTTTGAGCCTTATCAGGCTAAGGACGTTAAGCAGGTACAGCGGGAGGGGACTGAGCAAATCCAGTCTGTCCAGGGTCCTGATCCCGTTCTCCCAACTACAGGTGGAGGCCCAGCTGGGCCTATAGCCGGGTCTGCGGCTGAATCACAGGCTAGGAGCTCGCCGCAACCGGCCGAGCCCTCCCCAGCCGAGCCCTCCGCCGACGATCGGCTTAGGGACGATAGCAGTCTACCTTCCAGGGAACCCCATGTAATAATTACCCCAACAGTTTCCGAAGTGGAGGAGCCGGGGATTTATCAAGTTAGGCAACCCTATCGTTCCCCAACAGTTTCCGAAGTGGAGGAGCCGGGGATTTATCAAGTTAGGCAACCCTATCGTTCCCCAACAGTTTCCGAAGTGGAGGAGCCAGGGATTTATAAAGTTAGGCAACCCTATCGTTCCCCAACAGTTTCCGAAGTGGAGGAGCCGGGGATTTATAAAGTTAGGCAACCCTATCGTTCCCCAACAGTTCCCAAAGGTCGGGATGTTCCCGGGTGTGATACGGTGGAGGAGCCGGGGATTTATCAAGTTAGGCAACCCTATCGTTCCCCAACAGAGTCCAAAGGCCGAGATGTTCCCCGCCCGGCTCCGGCGGCGGACCGGGGGAATGTCAACACCCTTCTCGAGGTTCAAGGGAAGGACATACAATGTAGGCAGTCTGAAGATGGACATGAGTGGAGTGAAGAAAGAACTCGCCAGTTTGAGGACACGCATGGACAACATGGATAGTATGTTGGGGAAGTCTTGAAGACTGTTAAGTCTTTGGAGGTTTCTATGCTGTCCCATGCCTGCTCTCTATCTCCCGTGGCTGAAGTTCCGGAAAACCTGGAGGGGTCGGAGAGCGAGGCCGATCTCCGATCTGGAAACCAAGAGGCCTACAATCGGTGAATACTGGTGTAAATAATGTTAGTGACCCGCCTGACTCTTCGGTCGGTCCCTTTGTCAAGGTAAATAATGTTAGTGACCCGCCTGACTCCTCGGTCGGTCCCTTTGTCAAGGTAAATAATGTTAGTATTAAACCCGCCTGACTCTTCGGTCGGTCCCTTGGTCCAGGTAGTTAATGTTATTGTCGGGGGCAGGGAAAAAATTAATATTTATTTTTCGGGGGCTACTTTTCAAGCTTGCCTGCATGAAAATACCATTCTAAAATTTCTTTTGCATTGAACTCTATACAAATTTACAGGGGCTCTTTTCTGATTTTCGGGGCTCTTTTAGGCATTTAGGGGGCTAATTCGCCCCGAGCCCCCGTGTATTTTTTTCACTGGTCGGGGGGGAGGAGGTAGTGTCGCCAGGACGGCCGTGGTGCCTCCTTCTAGTGGGAAGCGGGTAAGATGCAACGTTGTTGGGAGTCCAGGGCTCCAGAGTAAGGACCTTTCCCTTTTCCAGCCCACCCACAGGCTCCCATTTTGGATTCCTTGGATCGTGTTTGATCGGGGGAAATAACTTGTTTGTCTTAAGTATATATATTATGGTTCACTATCGAAGCCATTCACAACGGCTCGTCCGCAAGGACATGGTGCCGGTTCCATTTTGGATTCCTCGGATCGTGTTTGATCGGGGGAAATATATATATATTTTAGTTCACTTTTGTTTACACTGTTTAATTTCATTGTAAATCGTCCATTCTGAGTTCCTGGACTTTAAGTGCTGATGTTTTTAAACTGAATAGATAACTATGGGATGGATTCCAAGGTAGCTTGCATCCAGAGGGTTTGTATCGCTAGGCGGGCCGTGGTGCCTCCTTTTAGTGTGAAGTGTGAAGCGGGTACCTCGGATTGTGTTGGATCGGGGAAAGGATTTTGATGTTTATGTAATCAATGTAACCGACTCCTATCACCGATTGTCGGGAGAGACTCGGCTTGGGGTAGCTGAGGAAGTGGATGAGTTGCAGCCGGTTGAAGCCGATGGTCCTTTAATCAGACAAGCTACGGCCACGGCTGCAGCTGCTCCGCTTTAAGAGCTGACTAGGAAGCATTCTTTTCACAGGGAGACAGAGCATTCATGTGTGTTTGAGGCCATAAAACGGCCGGCTTTTGATATCTCCCAAGTGACACTACGTGGTACTGGTTCCAATAATAAGTCAGAATATGATCATGTTTTTGGGGAGTAATTCCTCTGGAGTAATTCCTCTGGATCAACAAGAGCCTTTTGGATTTGCTTTATGGTGTTACGGGCCTGGGTGCCCTGAATGATACAAGAGCCTTTTGGATTTGCTTGATGGTGTTACGGGCCTGGGTGCCCTGAATGATACAAGAGCCTTTTGGATTTGCCTGATGGTGTTACGGGCCTGGGTGCCCTGAATGATATCAGGAATTTGCCGGCAGTGGCTATTGTGCCCCCGGGTGCCGAGTGGCCCAGAGAATGTAATCTTATTTTGTTGAAGTGTTTTCACCTTCTATATAATTTTCCATCTGATTTCAGTGATCTGCTTTTATCATTCTAATACTTATATGCACCGTTTGGACTGCCTGTAGGGAGCCGTTTGGCTCTCATGTGGGACTGCCCAGTTTCTGGACATTGTACCATCCAAATGCCCTGGTTAATCCCTTATGTCTGTGCCAAGACGTTTTGCAATTTGTCATTATGTATAACCGGCACGGTAAGGGTTAACTGGTATATTTCTGTTTCTTTATGCCTGTAATGCCCCGGTTAATCCCTTATGCCCGTGCCAGGACTGCTATTTTTTGTCATTTACACGTGACACCGGCACGGTAAGGGTTAACTGGTATATTTCTGTTTCTTTATGTTCTTGATCCCTATATAAAACATTTCCGGGACTTGAATCCTGTTTAGTAGTTAAATGTACCAAGTTAGGGATGCTAGGATATTTCTGGTTCCTTGAACATTCCCGGAGCCAGGTTTTCAGCATTATACACCAGCTGAAATTTCCATGAGTATTTCCTTTCGGAAACGGGTGTTTTGTTGTAGTTTAAATCATGGCTCGTTTGTAACCAGAATGGAAACCATTATGGTTGTGGGATTGACTAGTTATATTATATTATACAAATAATGAATGGTTATGAGTTCAATAGTGCGAATATTTTCATGAGTTGAAAGATTAACATTCTATTCAACGAGGCGTCAGCCGAGTTGAATAGAATTAATGTTAATCTTTCAACGAATGAAAATATTCGCACCATTGAACGAATGAAAAACATTCATTATTTGTTTTATACAACATCGAAGAAGATCTAATAGAACGTTAATCAACAAATTATGCTTTACTCCTTATATTAAAGATAAATTCAAGTTGGATTCAAGCCTTCTCGATTACATTCAGATTGCCTTCGCGTCGATACACGCAGTGATACGCGCGCGCACGACAGAGAGGTACGCAGTCTGCATATAACCAAAAATGCACGGCGCATATAACCAAAAATGCACGACCGTGCAATATACCATCTATTGAATATCATGTGACCAACAATCCTCCAATCAAATGACAGGGATCCACGTAGGTGTTGTATAAAGTTGTATATTTCATGCATCATTATGGCTATGGGATTGACTAGTTATATTATATAGTTGTATATTTCATGCACCATTATGGCTATGGGATTTACATAATATTTTCCGTACCAAATATTGGAATACAGTACTTATTAAGGTAGGATAACGGCGCCCGCCCTCTGGAAAGGCCAAGACTTCACCGGTGCTGGCAGGGAGGGTCCTTGACCCATCCACCAGCGGGAACGGCGTGACCCCGCACTGCGGTACGGGAGTAGTTTTAAGTTAGTTTTAGTTTAGTTTAAGTTAGAAGTAGGCTTTAAACTCATTAAGTAGGGAATAATGTAGTGATTCAGCCAGAGCCAATACGGCTCTGGCGGTTATATGCGCGTAAGTCCCGCATTCGGGCGACACCCGCGGTAGTTTCCGCGGTCGGGTCGATGATTGAGTACATCAGATTGAACCGAGACTACTGCACGGGACATACACTGTTGATTGCTCGTCTCTTCTGTCTCTTCTGTCTACTACTACTAGCAACGTACGTGGAGCTCCACCGGCGACACAACGAGTGCTTCTTGAGACAGACTTCAAGCTGTATATTGTATAAGTATACAGCCTATGGTAGGACTAATCCTTATTCTAGTAGTTTGTAGCATAATGCGTAATTAACAGTTATTTAGGCCCAGTAAGTTTATATTCCGCTCCGGCACTACAGCAAGTTAAGCTATGCTGTAGCGCTTTCTTTCCTTAAAGGAAACCGAACCCCAAGAAATAAGTTTACTTATTCTGAGAGATGTATTATATTATTGCCCATTAATCTACAAGATTCCCCACCAAAGTGTATGAGAGAGGTATAAAGCAAGAATAATGTACAGTTTCTCAGCACGACATGGGCATCGCCATTTTCTTGATAATGTGACGTACTATGCGAAGTCATTTATCAAGTAAATGTACGGTATTCAAATTTATGGATGCTTCTTTCCCAGACGTGTGTGGTGATGAAGCATTTTATTCACCTGCTATTAGGCCATGTAAAATTGATTTCATGTTGATCGTCCCCGCCCGCTTCCTTTTTTCCGCCCGCCTCTTTATATTTGATATTTGATATATTTTCTTTTTATTCAGAAAACAATAATACCATATGCATCTTTTCCACCTTTTCTTCAAATACGCTGTTCAAATATTCTTGTATAAACATACTAAGACTCTAGAAAAAATTGTATTGAAATGTAGAGTGGTTGATATGCTATATGATCGGCGATATGCTGAAGTGAAGCTGCGCTAAAAAATGATGCGATGATGCATGCGCTGCGCATGCATATATCGCATGTATATGCTTGAGTCGAGGAGCTAGCTAGAGATGAGTCGATCGAGTCGACTGATCATCGCATCGCAGATACCTCACGATAGCGCGGCCGCGCTCTAGCGCTGGATTTTACACGCGGCAGCCATCTTGGGAAAAATATCAAATATCAAATAACATGGTACACCCTCCTCCTCTTTTTCAAAAAATCCGGACGATCAACATGTAATCAATTTTACATGGCCTTATATAAATCCTACTACAATTGCCAGAATGCAAATTGCATAAATAAGTTGGTGCTCTTCTGGGGTGAAGGTTTCTCATGAATGAAATAGATTTGTCAACTGCTATAGTGTAGTATTTATAAATGAATTTAGTTACAATTGTTCCCCTGTTATTTATTTGTCACTAAATATAATTTCTATCATCTCAGTTTTTTTTTCATTGAAAAGTAAAGGTTTCTTCATTGATTAGAAAATTCTTTCCCACTAAAGCTTGGTACATGATACATGTACAACTTCAACAGGTACGTCACACTTTCAAGAAAATGGCTGCGCCCATGTCATGCTAAAAGGCATCACATCATGCCAGGAATATCTTCATTTATCTTGTACATTTTCCTAAGGAATATTGTACATCAAAGGGCAGGAATACATTTCATTTTTTAGAATACCTACACTTATTCTTTGGGGTTAATAGGTTTCCTTTAAGTACTGTCTGGAATGTGAATGGGAAGCTAAGATGGACAATGTCTTGTTCTAGATTTTTGTAGGATATTACACAATATGTACAGATTTTTGGTAGAAAGTCTTTCTTTGCATTTGTCCTTTGGCCTCGACAAATATAATTGACATTGTCGTTCATTTTCATCAACAGTGTTCTGATTTTTGGTCTAAATATGAACCCGGCTATGCACTAATTTAATGCCACTAGTCAGATTTACCAGTATTTCAATTTAGGTTAAAGGTAATACAAAGTTTTGGTATGGGGTCATGAATTTGGTTCAAATGAACATATTGGAAGCATATGCTTTCCTACAATATTCAGTGATCGTTGTCGCGGTTGAAATCGAGTCCAAAGTTATGAAATTGTAAATAATAAACTCTTTATGTTGTATACATGTAGCTCCCTCTCAAGGTCAAGATATTAAAGCAATTAAACAATGTTTCTTGACTAAAATCGACCAAATAGCTATTTCCGTTTGGAAATTATATATCAATACTACATATTCTGAAAGTTTCATGGTCGCAGCTACCATTGTACGGCCGTAGGTGCTATTTGAAATTTATCAAAATTTACCGGGAGCACCTGTAAATTTTTATATTCCATTTTTCTCAAAAGCAGAAGTGTTTAAGGGGCTACATTTTCTAGTGCTTATAATTCATCGACAGTGGCATCCAAATATATCAGAATTGTAAAGAATCACTATCCACCCAATTTTCAAAATTCTCCAAAACTTTGTATTACCTTTAAGGCCAGTGTAAAGGTGAGGAATAGTGCGTACATGTAACTATTCTCTTTCCAGGCTTTTTTCTACTTTGGGTAGAATCTGGAGAATTACCCAATTTTCTATCCAATTATTTTGTTTTTATGTAAACTAAGTCTCCATTGAGCAGGTCAGTTATTACATCTACACTGTACTTTGGACAAAATATCACAGATGATGCCAGATGCGAAGCAGAAATTAAAAGAAAGATAGAAATAGCTCGGAATACATTTCTGGCAGTGAAAGACTTTATTCACAGATAGAAAGGTGAAATTTGCGCTTAGGTTAATAAGACTAGCATAAAGCTGTCATGTATGGTCTGTACTATTGTATGGAGCAGGAGCATGGACAATAAGGCATGGAAAATAGAATAACAGATGCGAAGCAGAAATAAAAAGAAGGATAGAAATAGCTCGGAATACATTTCTGGCAATGAAAGACTTATTCACAGATAGAAAGGTGAAATTTGCGCTTAGGTTAAGACTAGTATAAAGCTGTCATGTATGGTCTGTCCTATTGTATGGAGCAGAAACATGGACAATAAGCAAGGCCATGGAAAATAGAATAACATCTTTTGAAATGTGGATTTACAGAAGAATGATGAAAATATCCTGGAAACGAAGAGATTTGCACATGGCAGGGCGTAAACAAATTGCACTGGTAGGATTAGTTAAAGAGAAGGTTGAGCTCTGGGAAGAGGTGAACAAATAATTTGAGCGCATTTATATTGTATTATGCATGTGTAGAAGAACAACAGATAAAAAAATGTTCTCTGAAAAGCATGGCTCTTCAAATGCCTTAATATTTTTGTATTATGCATGTGTAGAAGAACAACAGATTAAAAAATGTTCTCTGAAAAGCATGGCTCTTCAAATGCCTTAATATTTTAAATATGACATCATAAAAATCGGGACAGATTTTTACGCCACATGTTCGTGTAGTCCCATATACATGTTTCTGTGTACAGTGCTTGTAACTTTACCAAGACTGGGCCAATTTTCTTATCATTTTGATGATTCAAGAACCTTGCAGTATACACACCAACACTTACAGTACCGGTATGGTATATGCTAGATGATCAACATTTTCTGATCGATTCCACAACGTTTATTTCACAATGCAATCACACGACCAGAACTCAATTTTATCTTAGGGCCTGCAAATTATCTTATCTTAAAGGTACTATGTCCCATTTACAGGCCCAAAAAATGGAAAAGTTAAATTCCAACTGCATTTGAAAGATAATACTAATTTAGAACTTCCCTAAAAAAGGTGGGGCTTGAAAATGTCTTCAAGTGGGAAAATAACGACTATTAGTTGTCAAATCGACTTTAGGGCTATAGAGCCCAAAAGTAATAGTCTTGATTTTCAGACAATTGTACCGAATGGTCAGACGTTTTATGCTGCGCAAAGATTCAATCAGTTTAATCTTGGCCATCACAAGAAGTGGGTTATTGATGTAGACAAATGCTCATGCACCCTTTACAACTCTTTTCATGTATACTTATTACCAAAGAAGAAAAAAAGCCAGTCAGTCACTCAATAGTGTCTGACAGTGAAGTCTAGCAAGTAAACGGGTTTCCTTGCATAATTTGAATATGAGGACACTGCTAACGTTTAAATTTCACAGATAGGACATACATGTACATGACATATTCATAAGTTCCTGCAAAGTTCTACAGAATTTGAGGTTGGCTGCAAAAGGGACATAGTACCTTTAAGGAGAGAAAAGTCAAAGGATGTGTTGGAGGGAAGAGTGGAAGGAACTAGACCGAGAGGGAGACCCAGAATCACTATAACTGGGAAGAGAATGTCAAGAACTGGAGTGGACTAAAACTGCAAGAGTGCACCAGAATGGCAGAAGATAGAGTGAAATGGAGAGATGTTGCAATCAACCTCCGAACCGGGAGAAGATATTTAGATAGATAGATAGAATGAATATATGGCGGACAGTCTCTCAAATGGTAGAGTCCAGTCTCTAGAGAGTCTCCCAAATCGTACTGGTGGATGGAAATTGTCAATGACAATGCCATTTTCTTTCATGTTAAAACAGTCAGCAATGGATTCTGGACAAACAAGTTCTGATGAAGGATCGCCAGACGGATCTAGAAATCCTAACAGAGGAAGAATACCAGAAATGTATGATTTTCTACGCAGGAGGTAATTAAACATATATTTGCCTTGAGTGCTGATTTGCATGTAAATAGCAGGCATGCCACGCATTTTGACAGGCACAAACAGAAATGTTCCAATTAAAAAGAAATATTGCACTGCACGTTGTGAAACCTTCATTTGAGCCATTCTCCGATAAAGTGTTCAATTCAATGACCTAATATTAACCACAAGAAATTGTTAAAAAATTATATATATATAGTTACTTTCGCAAACTTCAACCAGAATACAAAATAACAGTCTTACTAGCTAAATGGCAATCCTATTATGTACACTGTATGTAATAGTTTGATACTGTAGAATTTGAAATAAATAAGAATCCTTTAGTAATACAGTTTTAGACAAACAGGGATATAATTTTAGTGCCATAAAGAGATTTATAGAAGAAGTATCTTTATGATTAAGAGAAACATATTTTTCTGTTCAAACTTTCTTGTGACCTCATGAAGGTCAGAAATGACTCATTTATCCTGAGTGTCCTGATTGTTTCGTAACTAAAAGGATTCATTGAGGAAATGGAAGTCCTTATACCAGCACTTTTATTTTACTTTTCGAGATTCTTGATTGTATAAATGTTATAATTCCATTTTGATTCAATTTTCCTGCTTCATCACATTCCTGAAAAGAACAGGCTGGAGCAAAATGAAGGTCAATCAGATATGCAAAGATTTGAAAAAGTTGTAGTATACCCCCTCCCCCCCCCCCCCAAAAAAAAGGGATTTTGCTTTGGCAAAATTCCCAATTGAGCTCTTGCGAACAGGAAATTTGTTTTACAGTTGGATGAGCTCAAAGCGATATACATGTACATGTACATGTAGTATTGTGAAATGTGAAGGTCTTTTTAAAGAATCAGTGTGATTTTTACTCTTTCATTGAAACAACATCTGTGCAGTTGCTATCTTCTATCAATTTGATAGGAAATGTTATCAGAAGACCAGTCTACTATCTCATTGTAAAGTTCTTTAATGAGCCTTAAAAACCCTTACGGATATTGCAACTTCTATACTGTTTATGTGAATTTATAAGATGATGAAGCGGATCCTAATCAAATGTTTGGTTGAGAGCATACACGTGACGTTGTGACCAGGCATTTATTTTGCTTAACACATAATTTTACTAATGTTAGACGGTTCCAAATGTACCTTGTATGGGTAATTCTTACTAATTATGCCCTTTACTGCTGTGTATTATTTGTATTTGCAATCAGAAGTTGCAATATATTCCCATTATTGTATTTGTTTCTCTGTATTTCTAGTTATTCAGGCACTTGGAGAACAACTCAAAGTTCGTCAACAAGTTGTGAGCACAGCAACCATCTATTTCAAAAGATTTTATTCCAAGTAAGCAAAAAATCATCACACTTTATTATTCTGTTTTTTTTTTTATTGTTTTCTTCTTCTTCTGCATCCATTCCCCCACCCTTTCAACCTAGCATTTACCTTCTTTCCTCACTCTATCTCTCTCTCCTCTCCATCTATACTCTCTCCTCTCCATCTCTACTCTCTCTTCTCCATCTCTACTCTCTCCTCTCCATCTCTACTCTCTCCTCTCCATCTCTACTCTCTCCTCTCCATCTCTACTCTCTCCTCTCCATCTCTACTCTCTCCTCTCCATCTCTACTCTCTCCTCTCCATCTCTATCTCACCTCTCTCCTCTCCATCTCTACTCTCTCCTCTCCATCTCTACTCTCTCCTCTCCATCTCTATCTCACCTCTCTCCTCTCCATCTCTACTCTCTCTTCTCCATCTCTACTCTCTCCTCTCCATCTCTACTCTCTCCTCTCCATCTCTATCTCACCTCTCTCCTCTCCATCTCTACTCTCTCCTCTCCATCTCTACTCTCTCCTCTCCATCTCTATCTCACCTCTCTCCTCTCCATCTCTACTCTCTCCTCTCCATCTCTACTCTCTCCTCTCCATCTCTATCTCACCTCTCTCCTCTCCATCTCTACTCTCTCTTCTCCATCTCTACTCTCTCCTCTCCATCTCTACTCTCTCCTCTCCATCTCTATCTCACCTCTCTCCTCTCCATCTCTACTATCTCCTCTCCATCTCTACTCTCTCCTCTCCATCTCTACTCTCTCCTCTCCATCTCTACTCTCTCCTCTCCATCTCTATCTCACCTCTCTCCTCTCCATCTCTACTCTCTCTTCTCCATCTCTACTCTCTCCTCTCCATCTCTACTCTCTCCTCTCCATCTCTATCTCACCTCTCTCCTCTCCATCTCTACTCTCTCCTCTCCATCTCTATTCTCTCTTCTCCATCTCTACTCTCTCCTCTCCATCTCTATCTCTATTCTCCTCTCTTCTCTCTTCTCCATCTCTACTCTCTCCTCTCCACCTCTATCTCTATTCTCTCTTCTCCATCTCTACTCTCTCCTCTCCATCTCTATCTCTATTCTCTCTTCTCCATCTCTACTCTCTCCTCTCCATCTCTACTCTCTCCTCTCCATCTCTATCTCACCTCTCTCCTCTCCATCTCTACTCTCTCCTCTCCATCTCTATTCTCTCTTCTCCATCTCTACTCTCTCCTCTCCATCTCTATCTCTATTCGCTCTTCTCTCTTCTCTCTTCTCCATCTCTACTCTCTCCTCTCCACCTCTATCTCTATTCTCTCTTCTCCATCTCTACTCTCTCCTCTCCATCTCTATCTCTATTCTCTCTTCTCCATCTCTACTCTCTCCTCTCCATCTCTATCTCTATTCTCTCTTCTCCATCTCTACTCTCTCCTCTCCATCTCTATCTCTATTCTCTCTTCTCCATCTCTACTCTCTCCTCTCCATCTCTATCTCTATTCTCTCTTCTCCATCTCTACTCTCTCCTCTCCATCTCTATCTCTATTCTCTCTTCTCCATCTCTACTCTCTCCTCTCCATCTCTATCTCTATTCTCTCTTCTCCATCTCTACTCTCTCCTCTCCATCTCTATCTCTATTCTCTCTTCTCCATCTCTACTCTCTCCTCTCCATCTCTATCTCTATTCTCTCCTCTCCATCTCTACTCTTTCCCACCTTTCCTAACTCTCTACATGTACCTGCCTCCTTTTCTCTGTCCTCTTAAAGGTAATAGAAAGTTTTGGTATGGGGTAATGAATTTGGTTCAAATGAACATATTGGAAGCATATGCGATCCTACAATAATCAGTGATCGTTGTCGCGGTTGAAATCGAGTCTAAAGGGATGAAATTGTAAATAATAAACTCTTTATGTTGTATAGCTCCCTCTCAAGGTCAAGATATTAATTTAGCTATAAAATAATGTTTCTTGACTAAAAATCAACCGAATAGCTTTTCCCGTTTGGAAATTTTATATCACAACTGCATATTCTGAGATTTTCATGGTCACAGCTACATGTATTATTGTATTTAAAGGCCGTAGGCGCTATTTGTAATTTATCAAAATTTACCGGGAGCACCGGTAAATTTTTATATTCAACTTTTCTCAAAAGCAGAAGTGCTTTAGGGACTAAATTTCTAGTGCTTATAATAAATCCACAGGGGCATCCAAATATATCAAAATTGTAAAAAACACTATCCAGCCAATTTTCAAAATTTTCCAAAACTTTGTATTACCTTATCTTTCTCTCTTCTGAAATTGATCTTAGATAGTATGTCTGAAGTACAATATAACTCATAATATCATGTTAATTATTCCTTTCATTTTCTATAGATTGTTCAATTCACATTTATTTGTTTAACCCTACAAGCATCAATGTATTAAATATTATTATTACGCCTCTGACTTGATGTACATGTATCATTATCACTGTTCAGTTTGTATATTTACACATTAAAATTTACTGTTCTTTTAATACTTTTCTTTTTGCACTAAATCATTACTAGTACTACTATCCTTAGTAAGTCATCCCCATGTACATAGTCTTTGTAGAGTAAAGTAAGTGAACCTAATTTTTTTTTTTAAACTGAATAGAATATCCAATCTTGATAGTAAATTGTATTGAAGAAGAGCAAAACATTGGAGAAACCGATCGGTGGAAGCATGAATGAAATTAAAAAAAATAACAATGGGAACGTTATGACTCACTATATGCATGTGGGAGTTTCAGCATTTTTGAAGTGTCAAAGTTTGGTTAATCATGATACCTCTTTCTTTCTTTTATTGCAGGAACAACCTCAAGAGTATAGACCCACTTCTCATGTCACCTACCTGTCTATTTTTAGCATCCAAAGTGGAGGTTTGTATCATCATTTGTTTATAACTTTAGCACTTTCCATAATCCTTCCCCCTCCCCCCTGTAATGTTTATCCATCTTTATCTTCTCATGTCACCTAACTGTCTATTCTTAGCATCCAAAGTGGAGGTTTGTATTATCATTTGTTTATAACTTTAGCACTTTCCATAATCCCTCCCTCTCCCCTTGTCATCTGTATCTATCCTTATCTTCTCATGTCACCTGTCTATTCTTAGCATCCAAAGTGGAGGTTTGTATTATCATTTGTTTATAACTTTAGCACTTTCCATAATCCCTCCCTCTCCCCCTTGTCATCTGTATCCATCCTTATCTTCTCATGTCACCTGTCTATTCTTAGCATCCAAAGTGGAGGTTTGTATTATCATTTGTTTATAACTTTAGCACTTTCCATAATCCCTCCCTCTTCCCCTTGTCATCTGTATCCATCCTTATCTTCTCATGTCACCTGTCTATTCTTAGCATCCAAAGTGGAGGTTTGTAATTATCATTTGTTTATAACTTTAGCACTTTCCATAATCCCTCCCTCTCCCCCTTGTCATCTGTATCCATCCTTATCTTCTCATGTCACCTGTCTATTCTTAGCATCCAAAGTGGAGGTTTGTAATTATCATTTGTTTATAACTTTAGCATTTTCCATAATCCCTCCCTCTCCCCCTTGTCATCTGTATCCATCCTTATCTTCTCATGTCACCTGTCTATTCTTAGCATCCAAAGTGGAGGTTTGTAATTATCATTTGTTTATAACTTTAGCATTTTCCATAATCCCTCCCTCTCCCCCTTGTTATCTGTATCCATCCTTATCTTCTCATGTCACCTGTCTATTCTTACCATCCAAAGTTGAGGTTTGTATTATAGTTCGTTTATAACTTTAGCACTTTCCATAATCCTTCCCCCCCCCTCCCCCTTAAATAATAATAATAATACTCAGTTTTTATATAGCGCAAATTTCCTCCTTATCTTCCTCTTTTTCTCCGTCGCCTTTCTTTCCAAACCCTCGATCCTCTTCCCTCCCCTGCATCTTACCTCTCTCTCCATTCATCCATCTGAATCAGAGAGAGGGTGGGTGATTCTCCTTAAAGAGAAGGTTGAGTTTTGGGAAGAGGTGAAACATAATTTGTGAGCGTTACTCATTCTTATTATGCAAGTGTGGAAGAACATCAGATAAGACATGTTCCCTGAAAAGCATGGCTCTTCAAATGCCTTCATATTCTAAATATGCATGTAACATCGTAAAAATCGGGGGGGGGGGGGGGGGGGCGGCTTTTTACGCCACGTGTTCGTGTAGTCCCATATACATCTTTCTGTGCAAGTGTTTGTAACTTTACCAAGACTTGGCCAAATTTCTTATCATTTTGATGATTCCAGAACCTTGCAATACACACAAATTCTTATATGCTAGATGATCAACCTTTTCTGGTCGGTTCCACACCGTTTCTTTCACAATGCAATCGCATGACCAGAACTCAACTTCATCTTTAACCTTATATTGAATATTCATATATGAAAATGTTATTGGGAAATCATTAGAAGCGTTTAAAGGGGGTGTAGCTTGGCAAATACTGGTTAACGCCATCTACGTCTCTTTTTGGACAACTGCACGTAAACGAATGGACTAGCTTGATTACCTAATGGTAGTCAGCGACTTAATCTCCACATGGTCAGCGCGCGCTAGCATTCACGAAACAGACCAAAGTTCTCCTCACGCTTCAGTTTGCCTATGTTGCATGCACGTGTTTGCAGCGGTGGCGTCGTCTGTAGTCGTACTATACCCGATTGGCCCCCAGTCAGGCCATTGGAAAGACACATATTCTCGTCATGCTACACTCCCTTTAAAACAATAAATAAAGATATGTATATCAATTAGAATTACTTCCCTGCAGGAAGTGCAGTCTGATTGGTTATTGATATATAAGTAGTGATCTTGCAGTGAAAACTTATCAAACTTGCTAGTATACTGACAACAATTAGTGGAAAGAAATGTAAGTGCAAAATTCGCCTTTCTGATAGCAATACCTAATGTGCACCTGGAAATATACTGTTTGTGTTCTGTGGCCTCAGTACCTATCTGTGTGCACAATATATATTATTTTAAAGTAGCTCGGCGAAGAAATTTCACATAATCACTAAAAATGGGCAAATTATACATGTCCGGATAGCGTAGACCAATATGAAGACACACATTCTGCTCTAAAGTCTTGTAAATATAAATGAAACGCGGTAAGAAGCTTTTTCCAAGAACCTTCTCAGAACTTCAATTCCTGGCTTGAACATTGTTCGCGCAGTAGGCCGATTATGACGTCCCTGGTTGGGCACGTTCGCAATTCTAGGCCTCAAGCTCGCCTCTCGCACAGCTCGCGTGCGGTATTTTGCATAGCTATACGTATACATTACCCAGACTTCGCATGCTTCATATCCTGACCAGAAAGTGGAATAACAATCTCTAGAAATCATGTAATTACATATAATATTAAGCAAATTTATGTAATATAAAAAGAGGGGTGAATCGTGCAATTCGATTTGTCCAAATACCCTTCCATGCTGTGTAATTTGCTGAGACGTTTTGTATTTGTTCGGTCATCATGCCTTGGCGTGATAGTGATTGCTGTTGATTATATGCGGAGACCATGATGAGTGAATCGCGAGCGTCCTTTTGCATTTGTATGATGTCCTGCAGCTGCAGTTCTATTTCTGAATGGTGCATATTTGTAATTGATTTTCGTCAAATATAATCTCACATCTAATCATCTTTGTTTTATTATCCGTGAAATTTGCCAAAGAGCCCCACACATCCCGAAAAATTAGAAATTGTCTCGCCCAGTCATGACAGATCGATCGCCAGTTGAGCGGGGCCGGGGGAGCTGAGCGGCAGCTGGCAGTCCAGCCAGCTCGCGCTGATATGCTATCACTTGACCTGCACCAGCATCGACGCCGTCTTCTCCGAATTGTTCTCTTTCTTCCATCTCTCCTACATCCCAATCATCATCATCATCACTATCACTACCAGTACCACTGTTGTGGAGCTGTGCTCATCAACTTCGAATTCTAAATCGAGTAAAACCTCTTCTTCGAGCTCGGACATTTTGATCAGATATTTAGCGTTCGAGTGGCGTTTGTATACGTATAATGCATGCAGGCGAGAGTTGTGTGAGAGCTTGAGGATCGCACTCTCGCTCATGTGCCCAACCTCCTACGTCACAAATCGTACGTCACAATAATCTGTAACAATTTTTGAAAACTAAATATGAACCATTAGAAAGATTGTAACATTAACTTTGCAATGATACCAACATTATTAAGGTTAAAAGCCTTTTGAAACCTTCGCTCAGCTTCTTTAACAAACTCTTGTATTTCCATTGACAAAATGTATTCTTTTGGGTCATTGTTTTATATTTTGTTTCAAATATATTATATTTGGTGTTGGCAAAATCTATTGTTGTGAGTATATGTTTTCATCTTTGTGGACAAAGTTTGTAATTTGGGGTCATTTTTTTCTTCTTCTTTTTCTTGTATTTTCACAGGAGTTTGGGCCTCTCATCAATAGTAGATTGATAAGTGCCTGTCAATCAGTAGGTATGTTAAACTATTTCATTTGATCGTCGTTCAGATATGACACGGTAAAAGCGCAACATTAAGTTTAAAGGTATAAACCAGTTTTGGAAACGCCCCCTCTCAAAAAATGAAATGGAAGCTCTTATTACCAATCATGTGAAAGAATATGTTTCGACTAATACGTGATGATAACATTTTTGCCAGGAAACCGCCTACTAATTGATATACCGTGTTTGCCGGCGTAAAGGCCGCAGTATTTTTGGAAGAGAAAATATCAAAAAGTCTGGGTGCGGCCTTTACGGCGAAACAGAAAAAAAAAAAAAAAAAAGTCAAAACCAACACGAATTTGTACATATATAGATCTACGAACGGTACAATAACTATACATTTCCACACATCTTACCGACAATTTTATCTTGCATTGTTGACATGAAGACGAAAATAAACTTCCAAAAACAACATCTGCCGATAGATTTTGATCTAAGTTCGTGCCAATGCATTATAAAAGTAAAAGAAGGGCCCGTTTAACGGGAGCCGCCGCGAAGCATCAAGCACGCGAAGTCGCCACTTTCAATCCATTTCAATGACTACATCACAGAAAACTGCATAGTATGCTATCAGTGCGCGATGGCCGAGAGGTTTAAGGCGCTGATTTTAGTCACATCAACTTTTGTACGCAAGAGATCGAATCCCGACTTTGACAAAAGTTTTTTTTTTTTTTTTTTTTTTTTTTTTTTTATTTTTTTTATTTAATATGTCAAAATCGGGGGTGCGGCCTTATCGCCGGCAAATACGGTATTTGGTAAATTAGTTTATCTATCCAGACCGGATAAATATCGCGCACGTGTGCGTAGTCCCATTTACATCTTTCTGTGTACAGTGCTTGTAACTTTATGAAGACTGGGCCAAATTTCTTATCATTTTGATGATTCCAGAACCTTGCAGTACACACCTATACTTATATGCTAGATGATCAACCTTTTCTGATCGATTTCACAACGTTTCTTTCACAATGCAATCGCATGACCATAACTGGTCTATATCTTTAATATGTCATAATTATTTCTATCAGTGAACCCTTTTGTTTATGATGTCAAACTCGAACAAAGCTAGATTAATATCAAACTCTATTATTTACAAATGTATGAAACATGACCCTTATCAACAAGTTCAGAGTCAAATGCTTTGTTTTTTGTTGATGTAGAAGATCTTGGGAAATTTTCAATGTGTTCATACTAATCCCTTATGTCCGACTTTTTAACTAAAACATTCATTTTCCATTATCACAGTGAAAAAGCTGCCATATGCCTTCTCTGGTCAGGAATTTCCATACACCATCAAATCGGTAAGAAACTATTTTGTTTTGCTGAAACCATCGTTATAATGATAATGATAATAGTATAATTATAGTCTTCTTTAGCATTAATACTGGTCTCCCTGAGGGCCCTGCAATCGTGCTTTAGCCAAGCTACCGTGATGATTAGGCGCTCAAGCATTCCATGAATGTCTTCCTACCAGGTACCCATTTACTACACCTGGGGGGTGTTTCACAAAGATCCTAAGTCGAACTTATCTCTAAGTTGGACTTAACAATTATGGAAAGCCATTAGCATCCTTGAAAATATTTTGTAAAAGTTTTTTTAAAAGGCATAAAATGTTTTTTCAATTATTCACATTTTCTATTATCATGGGAGATTTCATGTTCTTGATGTGGAATTTATGAAAAGTCTAAAATACATGAATTTTTGCTTTTGAATATATTTCAAAATAAGGCTACAAATGGCTCTCCATAATATTTGAGTCCAACTTAGAGTTAAGTTCGACTTACAATCTTTGTGAAACACCCCCCAGGGTGGAGAGTGACAAGTGAAGATCAATATCGTGCCAAATGACATTAGTACCGCAGCACTTTACGTCATCGTAAAGAAGAAAGCATCCGCGTTGCTGTGTCATATCTGAACGAACCATAATTTGTTCAATACATAATGCATATCATGAATTCTACTTTTTCTCTTTTGCAGATCCTGGAATGTGAATTCTACGTACTGGAAATCATGGTAATTAACCATAATTTTAATCCTGTTGAGTTATGTAGTTTTGTTTAATTTTTGTATTTATTAATTATATATTTTTTGTTTGGGGGAGGGGGGGGGGGGGGGGAGGTGTAACATACATCTTCACTTGAGGTAAACCATATTGTAATAAAACGAGCCATTCCTGCGGAAGGGGGTGGTTATTTTGTTCCTTTTTATTTCAAGGTCTGATCAACACAAAACTCATGCTAGGTATTTTGTACTTGACATTAATTATTATTTGAGCAGTTTGCAACAGCACTACACTATATAAATTATGCTAATATAATACACTAATCTACCTATATGTTTTTCCATGTATTGTATGCTCATGTTGCAGGAGTGTTGTTTGATAGTCCATCATCCGCACAGACCTCTTGTACAATTATACCATATGCTTCTGACTTTTTACAGGACGTTGTCAGAACGGTGTTCATTTCTATTCTGCCCCATCTCTATTTCATTCTTTCCTATTAAAGCGTATTATGGGGACTTTCTTTGTGTTAGTGATATGCGCTATACTAGATTTCTTCAAAAAACAACTGAAAACTTACCTGTACAACTCCCTACATTGTTGATAGTCTAAGAGACAGCGCCTTGTATCCTTTGGAAAAGGCGCTATATAAATCCAATTATTATTATTATTATACAAGTAACGTTCATTATTATTATTATTATTATTATTCCATGTGGTTTGTGTTGCAGGATTGTTGTTTGATAGTGTACCATCCGTACAGACCTCTTATACAATACGCTTCTGACCTCGGACAAGAAGATCAACTCCTACCCCTGGCATGGTGAGTGTCCCAATAAATGGGATTAGAATTCTCCTGTTTTACATCCTCTCCGAGGGACTTTAAGGACACTTGTAGCTCTAGGGGTGTGTTTCACAAAGATCCTAAGTAGAACTTAACTCTAAGTTGGACTTAAAAATTATGGACAGCCATTGGAGTCTTAAAATGAAATATATTCAAAAGCAGAAATTCAAGTATTTAATTTTAGACTTTTTATAAATTCACATCCAGAACATGAAATCTCCTTGATGATAGAAAATATGAATGATTTGAATAAACAATTAATGCCTTTCAAAATAACTTTTACAAAATATTTTTCAAAGATGCTAATGGCTTTCCATAATTTTTAAGTCCAACTTAGTGTTAAGTTCTACTTAGGATCTTTGTGAAACACCCCCAGAAGTTTGATTGTGGTATTGATGATTGTGCTTGTACAACACACTTTTCTGTTTGCAGGAGCTCTTTTAGGATTTGGTGTGATAAAAAATGTGATTTTCTCAGAGTGATATTTAGGTATTTTATTGTTATATTACCAGGGGGGTGTTTCATAAAGACTAAGATCGACTTTAAGTTGGATTTAACTATGGCAGGCCTTTCATGCCACTAGTTCCTCTAACCATGCCTGGCATTGGTTTCTCAAGGGACATACAAATCATAGCCACAAATCTACAGAACTTACCTGGTTTGATAATTCATTATTGAAGGAAAAAATATTATCTAAAGATCAACATTAGGAGACCAATGTTGAGAGCAACCAGTGGCATGAATGCCCCCCCCCCCCAGAGCTCTTTTGTTTTGGAGTTGTCCGTCCGTCCGTACATCCCGTTCTCATCGGTTATCTCAAGAACTGATTGATGAATTCCTGCCAAACTTAGGTCATGTTTGTATCTTGTGGAGCTAATGTATTGATTAGATTTTGGGGTCAAAGGTCAAATGTCACAGGGCTCATGTATGCAAAAACAGCTTGTGATCGCGTTATCTCAAGAACTGATTGATGGATTCCTGTCAAACTTATGTCATGTATGTACCTTGCATACCCAATGAACTGATTAGATTTTGGGGTCATGAGGTCAAAGATCATGGGGCTCATATGTATGCAAAAATTGCTTGTGATCGCATTATTATTAGAACCGATGGACGGATTACCATCAAACTCCAGACATGTATGTATTTTGCAAAGCCAATGAACTGATGAGATTTTAGGGTCATGAGGTCAAAGACCAAGGGTCATATATGTATATGAAAACTAGATGGGCAATTCCATGATTAGGTGGACATGAGTAAAAAATTTAGAATTCAAATTTTCTTTTTTTTTTTTTTTGTATTTGACTAAAGACACCACAAAGTATCTGAAAAAAATATTTTCCACACCATACATTTGGTATAAGTGAGTGAAAATTGCAAATGAACATTGTTCATGTTTTCCTGTGAAATTTGTAATATAAGAGGAAAAAAAGTTATTTAAGTCATTATCAACATAAAAGTAACTATATCCTCACAAACCTATTGAATTTATTGAGGGAGTACAATGCCCTCATGGTTTCATTAAGCAAAATTCAAGTTAAAAAGTGATTTAGTCTACAGTTCACGAAATTCCAAATAGTCCGGCAGCCATCTCGATATACCTTGTTTTAGGGTCTATAGTTTTTTTTTCTTCGGATTACAGTTCCTTAGACCATCAATTTGAAGAATTCGATTGCTGACACTCTGTCAGCATTGAGCAATTTGAGATATGTGACGTCATACAAAATGGCCGCCAAAATCCCCTTTTTAACCAAAATTAATGATATAAAAAGTTTTAACAGCATTTTACTACATTAAATGGCAGTCAAATATCTTAATTTTTTTCTAGAATCATCACTAAATAAAAATTGCAATGCTGTATGATCACAAATGATATGCAAATTTGCATAATTCGGAATGGCGCCCTCTATAGACACATTAACTTGCATAGGTCAAAATGATGGCCAAATACCAATTTCTAACATGAGATTATCATTATGTCATGAGTCAGATGCACTGAATACAGTGAGTAAAGATTGTGCTGCACATTTATTTTTATTTTGTAATTTGATACTCGAACAAAACACGGTTGAATTTTATGCTCTCTGTCCCATAGATATGAGGTGGCATATGGTGATAAATGCCCATTTTCAGTGACAGCGTTAAGAAACTAGATTTGTATTCTAAGGTACTAGATTCTTTTAAATTAACCTAAAAATTACGAACTACCACTACGATACAGGACTGTATCCGTTTATAAGTTTGCTTCAAAATCTTGAAATTTGTTTAAAAGCTCTCTAAAGTGTTGGGAACCCTAAAATATTCCATGTGGAAGAGGGTGTCATTTAACACTTAATTCTGCAAAGTAAGGTCGTGACTGTAATGCGTGCTTCCACACGCATGTTTGCAAATGAGTTCTCTTAACATTTTCTACAAACGCTTCAGTAGTTTGAGGTAGTGAGGCAAGGTTTGGGGGTATTTGGAGCTCCTAGTCTTCGGACCCTTGATAGCCACACGTTGATACGAGCCTCTGACATTCAGTTGGTTGTTGACTGTCCATAACATGAAGCAAAGCATTGAGTAGGTTGAGTGATGACATAATTATGACCATGCTGCATCAACATTGCCAACTCAGTCCTAAGGGAGTCGAATCTTCTGCTTCATCACTTTCAGCATTGTACCCTATCCAATGCCAAAGTATGCCCCAAGAGTGTCGCATCCCGTCAACGCATGTCCTGCCAACATCGATGGAATGATATCTCCTAACTTGTCTACATTGGCAGGAACATCAATAACAGTTCGATTTGTGAAGGGGCGTCTCCATGGTAATTGGCGTTTTATAAGTCCGTCATGTAGATAATGATGCAAAAGTAGTACGTAGACGTCTGTTTCATCCACTAGGACCCTAACATACATCTTCTCATTAGCATCAATTCCAATCGCTTGCTGTTCTTTGATGTTGCCTGCTTCATCATAACTATGTTGTGGACAGACCTTTCCTTGGCATGACATCACTGCCTGGAATCACTTCAACAAGAACCTCATCTTGACGGTAAAGGCCTGCTTGTGCTTTTGCCTATTTCTGAGCACCCAATCATCCTGCAGACTCGCGCATATAATTATGATGTCGATCAACTGTAGTTTGTTGTCATGGAAAGATAGTGAAGTTAGCAACACTAGAGACACGTTTCAACAACTTCTCTCCCTAGCTTTATTGATCTTTCCAAAGCTTTTGACTGCGTACAACATAAACGCCTATGGAAGATTATGAGCTAGATGGGCTTTCCAGCACATATAATTCAACTCATCCAGTCGCTCTACCAATACCAAGAAGCAACAGTAAGAGCAGAGAATGGCGACACCGAAAGGTTCACTATTGGTCAAGTTGTCCGTCAAGGCTGCAACCTATCACCATAAATTTTCAACATCTATGCTGAATTCATCATGAGAAAGGCATTTTATGGTCAAGTTTCTGTTGGTGGACGAACGATCACCAACCTAAGATACGCCGACAATACAACACTCTCTGGCGTATTAATGGGGAAGGGTATGGGGGGGGGGGTTGGGGACAGTTGAACCCCCAAACAAAATTCAAACTGTTTTTTTTTATATATTCGATACCAGTGATTTACAAATGTTGCTGAAATGACATGATTTTCCTGGGTTTTTTCTCACTTTTTAGTAAATCCACAGTCAAGCAAACAATATGCTTATTTAAAAGCCTACATGTCAGGGTCCGCAGAACAGCGGGGCTCAGGGGACTCGAGCCCCCTCACTTTTTGTATAAAGTATGTTAAAGAGAACTAGAAAGAAAGAAAGAAAGAAAGTGACCCGAGGTGAAATGAGGTATCAAAATATGTTCATCTTACAGTTAATAAATGCCTGAAACCCTTGAGCTTCCGGGGGCTGTGCCCCTTGAACACCACGCCAATTTGCGCTCCTCTCTTCCTGATCGTAAATACTTCAGCCCCCCCCCCCCACCCCGCTTTAAAAAAAAAGTTCCGCGGGGCCTGCATGTAACATGTATGAGTGGTGGTGATGCAGATTGTTTTTCTGCCCCTCCAAGTGTTTTTGCTCAGTATGCCACTGACAACACTTATAACAAGAACATCAGAAGAACTACTAGAACTCCTTAAAAAAGAGTGAAGGATGCAAGTGAATAATTTGGACCCTACCTCAATGTGAAAAAGACCAAGATCATGATTGGTGGAAATTAACTACATGCAACAGAGCATGGTGGTTGATGGAGAAGAAGTTGATCAAGTGGACAAGTTTATATAATGTTCTTGGGTCAATGATTGTCAAGGAGGGTGGAAGCTCGGCAATCTGCCTTTGAAATGTGGTGTTGGAGGAAGCTACTTGGGATATCATGAAGAGATTACAACACCAATCAGTGTACACAATGTCCATCATCGAAGATCAACCGCCACTTGCTACCAGGATTGACAAGTACAAGCTACAATAGTTTGGTCACGTTAGCAGAAGATCAGGAGACAACCTTGACAAATTATCATTCAAGGTACCTTTGAAGAAACACGTAACAAAGGAAGACTCAAGCTCAGATGGACTTACGACCTTAGGGAAATCACTAGCCACCCTCTAAATACTAAAGACACTCTACCGGATTGCAGGAGACAGATGCCGATCAAAAGGTCTCATCAAACGGGTCACAAGGGTGAGCCATGATCTATATGACAACGACGACGACGACGAACAGTAAGAGATAGTTTCTTGGAGGGCAGCAGTGACGCGGGACTCAGTTGGAAGACTCTCGACCCGTTATGACCTCTAAATACTCTCGGATCTGTCAAACACCAAGCAAACATAATCAGATTTTCATTCACAGCAGAGCACAACCATCAATGACTGTACAAGGTTGTTCCAGTGTCTCATGCCTGGCTGACATCTCAACTTTTGTCAAATTCTATAAGTCCGTCTTTGACATGGGAGTGCTCGTTTCCAGAATCATCAAAAAGTGCTGTTGGGACTGGTGAAAGCTC